CAGCACTTGACATTTTCCTAGAGCCTTGGTCTAAAGCAGGCCACGAATACCCACAGTTGCTTCCCCTCAACTGCTACCTGTGAGTCCGCTCTGTCCTCCTCCACCAGCCCTGGGAGCTGCAGCCATTGGCTCAAGGCCTGTCCCCGCATAATGGGGTTGGAAGTGGCTCCACCACCCCAGCCCAGTGTCACTCCCACACTGAATTTTCTTCTTCTTTCTCTGCTCTCCTCTGAGACTAATTTATCACCCACCTTCTTCTGCCATCACAAACTCATGGATTTCTTTGTTAGATCCCTTGTCCAATGCTGCTTCGATTGTTCATGGATTTAGGAAATGAAACAATTTCTTCTTCCACACAATCCTCTTTGAGGCTGATCAGACCATACTCCCAGGAATAACACCAAAGCTGGGGTAGAAAGTGCCCTTCGCTGCTGTTCTTTCTCAACCTGTGATTAGGAGTTGTGTTATAAAACTGGATTCAAGTTCTCAATTTGTGCCTTACTTGCTATGTGATCTGGAGATGGTCACTTGCCCTCTCTGGGCCTTGGAGACCTCATCCATAACAGGATTAAGTAGACACTCTCTCAGGTCTATTCTTGCCTGATGGTACCCTGTTTTCTGTAACTACGGTAGGGGAGGGTTGCTCCGATCATGACTGCAAAGATGTTTGATGGAAATCGCTTGATGGCAAGCAGCAACCTGACCCAGACCAGTATTTAAACTGGGATTCCACTGTCCCCCATGAAAAGAGAGGCTCCTGGGAAGTGGCAGAGCTGAGCCCTCCAGAACTATGTGATTCCAGTGGGTCCTAGGAAGCAGAGGGGACTCCTCCTACATTCTACTGTCTGAGGGGTACCCCTCCTGTTGCCTCACTTTTTTTCTCAGACTTTAAAATGGTAGAGAAATCACCTCTCCTACAACTAATGGTGTCAAAATTAAAAAGTCATGGAGGCCAAGTCAGCTGAGCTGCTTTGGAAGCGGTGACCTGGGGGCACCTACACCTGGCCCATGGTGGATGGGGAGGCCGCAGCTCTGAACTCCAGAGGGCCAGAGCATAGCGGGAGCCCTCCTCAGGTCCCGAGTTGGGGGCAGGGCACAGGCCAGGAGCTTCAGTCTCAGGTTCTCTCCTTGGTGAAGGGAGCCGCAGCTTCCAGGCCTCCAGCTCCAGTGCCAACAGGGGCTGGAAGTAGAACTGACCACTGTGTCCTGGGATATCAGGCTTCCAGATGTGAAATTCCCAGGGGTGGAGCTATGTCACTTGCTGATTTCTTGAGGTCCAAGGATTCAACATCTGACAAACAGACTGTGTATACACTGGAGCCCAGTCGTTCCCTTCCTTTTCCCATGGCTGCCGACGAGGATGCCAGCACTAGGTACCCCATGGGGACACCATGAAGGAGGAGACAGCACTCACCTGCCTGGCGCTGCTGAGACCCTGTTTGTGCTCTTGTTCTCAGGAGGCTCTGATTTCGCACCCATGTTTGGGGAGTTCCCTGTGATGGCTAAGGACTCATTTTGGTCAGGCAGCTCTTGGCCTGGGAAATGCTGAGGACATTTCAACACAATCTACTTCCAATTCTGGCAGTCAATAGAATGGCAGAGGGTCCCAGCGAGCTTCTTGGAAGCTAAAGTTAGTCCCCAGGGCACAAAAGAACTTCTGACCAAGGGGTCTAGAAGACTTAACTCACGCTGTTGTCTGAAGTATCTTTGTCTATTAACGGAGTCAACCAAAGCCCAGGCCATGGGGCCCAGTTTTATGACACTCGTGTCCCTCTCTTGGGGAACTGAAGGCACAGCCATCTGAGGACCACAGGCTCTATCCACCCTTCTGACATCCCCAGATCCTGGGGGCAGCTTCTCTGAAGAAACAAGGCTGTTTTCCCCACCGTTTGAGATCCTCATCAGCCTTCTGCAGAGTCAAATGTGAGGCCCAGATGCAGGTCTCTTTCTATAGAGAGCGTCTTGTTTTGGAGAGAATGACTTGAGCCAAACCCTTGGGGCTGATCTGCTTGAATTGAGAATTTATGGGGGAAACAGGAGGTGTTTAATATCTCCTTTGCTTGCAGGTTTAATCTGGAGTGCTGCAGAAATCTGAAAAATAGGTTGGCCGCCAGGGGAGGAGGGGGATGGGCACACAGGATGCCATGGGGACAACATCTGGGGTTTCAGAGGTTGTGAGAGCAGCGACCAGTTCTATCCCTGTAATGCTGAGTGACCTAGGGCAAGTGTGTAGGATTCTCTGGGCTCCATTTCCCCCTGGACTACTTCCTGCAGGAAGAGTGGGGTGTCCCACGAAATCCTTTGTCTGGGACTTTCCTGGTCGCACATCACATCTCCAAATACAGACACTGTATCTAAGTGCCCAGGAGCAACTAGAAGAATACATGGGAAACAGTGTGACACAGGAGGGGCCCTCAAATCCAGGCCACCTCTGCCACTCACTAGTTGTGTGACCCTGAGCAAGTCACTTACCTTCTGGCACATTTTGGGATGCATTACCCCAAAGTGAATAGAGCTTCAGCTTCTGGGCCTACACTCGCACACACAGCCCCTTTTAAGGCCTATGTATCTAATTTTGTACTTACTATATTTTGGTCATAAAGAAGGTCTCCAAATGGTATGTCTCACCCCACAAACCTAGATCTGCCCCTGCTTCCAGGCCTCTACTTTCTCTTTTGTGCAGTGAAGAAAAACTTTCAAGTTTCTATGACTTGAAAATGTTCTGAATCTATGTTTCTAGTGTTTGTCTCTGAGCATCTGGGCACAAAGAAGGGAGCCCAGAAAGAGAGAGAGTGACCAGAGCAGTAGCTGGAAAGGCAACATGGCAGGTGCGAAGGGAAGTGGGCAGGAAAGGTGATACACAGGTGGGGTTCACTGTGGGGTACCTAGGAATGAGGTAGACAGCTGTCGGCAGCCTGGGGCCTGCTGACCACTCATTGACAGGGCTTGGGCTTAGTGTGGATTTGCTATACATTGGGCAGGGTTTGTGCTGATCTAAGCAGCACGCTCCTGGCCAGCTCCTTCCCTTCTGTTGTTTCCTCCTGCCAATGCTTGGTCTGTCTCAGAAGCCTTCTCTGCTGAGAAACAGCCTCTTTGTAGATGTGAAGGTGGTGGGATGTCTTTGGGGCTTGTAGAGAAGGCAGGGCGCAGGGCTGTCAGAGCTTCTCAGGAAAGAGGATGGACATGAAGGTTCCTGGAGCCCAGCATCTGCCCACAAACAGGGCTCACAGCTCCACGGCTGGTCCAATATCCCTTCTAATCCTGTCTTGCACGGACAACCTTCATCACAAAACATTTACAGCTAGGGCCAGGCCCTGGGTGACCTCAGAACCCAGCACGTGGCTGGGGCAGGTGTTGTGGGGCTGGGACGTGCCAGCAGGCATGGCGGAAGCAGGTGGCAGTTTTGTGCATGTTGAGGAAATGACTGCAGGGCTGAGCTGATTTGGCTCCGAGAAAATGACAGTGATGTGGGCGGGGCTGGGGCCTGGTTTGGCGGTGGGCAGGGCTGGGTGACTCACAGAGGTGTTCTGGCACTGTACGCTGGAGCTGTTGAAGCGCAGGGCGGGCACCCGCTGCTCGCTGCCCTGGATGTTGAGGATGCATTCGTAGCCACGCTGCCCAGACTGGGGCTGGGGGAGGTTCTTGGCCTTCAGCGTGATAGGCTTGATCACCTCCACAGGCACCAGGATCTTGTCCACTCGCAGCAGCTGGGGGCAGTCCTGGGGACAGAGGGCATGGCTCAGGCTGGGCAGCCAGGAAACCAAAAGAGCAAGGACCTCTGCAGACATAATCCGGATGTTCCCTGTCTCCACCCTTCCACGGACACACCCACAGGTGACCCCTGAGGTGCTCGTGCCCACCCAGTGGGCAATGCACTGAGGACAAAAATGAAACTGAGGAATCTGGGGTCCTAGTGTCATATCTTGAGGTGGTCCCCACCCTCTTTGGGTTCCCTGAATACCTTCCTTATGCAATCCGGATTCTCTGACACTCCTGTAGCCTCCTCATGGCACCCTTCTTCCCTAGTAGAGACTGCCTCTGCTGGCTAGGCCTCCCCCCCGCCACTGCGGACTGATGATCTCTTTGCCTGCTAAGTTCCAGGCTGTCAAGAATTGGGATGGATAGACCATGTGAGAATCTCCACAGACAGGCAAAGCCCTGGGCCCTACTCTGTCCCTGGAATGTGAGTCTTGACTGCAGCAGAGGGGCTGGGAGGACCTTCCCTACGTGAGCTGAATCTGATGTTTGAGAATGTTCTGGAATGGGCCCCAGAGGCTTTATAAATCCAGAAGCTTCTGACCAAGCTTTAGGATGTCCTGGCCCCAAAGAAATGCCTCTCAGAGTAGAAACACTCTGAGCTCTTTCTAGATGCTAGCAATGGGCATACTTAGCCCTGGAGCCAGAGGAGCCCAGATGGCCTTTAGGATGGAGACAGTGAATCACTGGGCCCCTTTTTCCCGGGGCTATCGGCTTTGTCTAGGGAGGACTGGGGACATAAGGAGGTCAGAAGGAGGGTGGGTGCTCTGCCCAGTTGAGTGGTAGGAGCTGGTGTGTTGCTGTATTCTCAGGAGCTGGGTGGAGGAGAGTCAGTATTGCAGCTCCTGCTGATGGATGTGGGCAGGCATGAGGCCTTCCATAACACAAACATGGCCTGGGCACCCCCTGTGCTAGGCAGGTCCCATCATCCCCCAGATTCCTCCATCTGTGGCACTGTCTGGGGCATGCCAAGACAGATGGCTCCTGGGCAGGTTGATCATCAAAAGCATGACGCACATGTTCTTTGTGAGAGTGCTTTGTCATGGGCTCACCACCAACTCTCAGCAGAGGCTTCTCTCCCCCACCTTAACACTTGTCCTCAGCAGAGTAAGGTAGAAAGGAAGCCACTGAGGAATGGTGGAAGGGAGGGGTTCCAGGTAGTTAGGCAACTAGCAGCTGTCCCTCCCAGGTCCCAGAGCAAACATGAGCCAAATATCTCCGTGCCATTACGAGCTACACCATAACAAGACTTAGGCTCGGAGGGAGAAGGCTTCAGCTAGCTCTAGCACCCCTGAGCTGCTGATGAGCTCTGGAACTCTGAGCACATTTGAAACTCAATTTCCTTATCTATTAGTTGAGTGGGACTCCAAGGCCCTGTTCATCTTAACCCATCATGATTCCATGATTTGGAGTGGTTGTTCCCTCTATGCTTTCTGATCATCCAACAAGAAAAGAGGAGGGAAAGAGAGGCAGGGGAAATGGAAGCAAGAAAGGGAGCGAGAAAGCCATAAGGGAAGCTAGGAGACAGAGAAGAAGCTGGAGGAGCAAGACCATGGTCCACAGATGGACCAGCAGTGGAGCCTTGCTTCATGGGAGTGTCCCAGGCCCATTAAACTAATCCTTCCTCCCATGCCCCTACAGGCTGCTCACACGTTTATCCTGAAGTGCAGCTAAAAGAGGAGCTGCAGATCCAGAAATCCCACTCCTGGGTTTACATGCCCAGAGGAACTGAAAACAGAGACTCAGAAATCTGCACACCCATGTTCACAACAGCATCATTCACAACAGCCAAAAGGCAGAAGCAACCCAGCTGTTCACTGAGGAATGAATGGATAAACAAAATGTGACCTATTCATACAATGGAATATTACTCAGCCTTGAAAAGGGAGGAAACTCTGCTATAACATGGATGAAGCTTGGGGACGTTATGCTAAGTGAAATAAGCCAGCTACAAAATGGCAAATACTGCAGGGTTCCACCTGTAGGAGGTCCCTTGAGCAGTCAATTTCGTAGAGACAGAAAGTAGAATGGTGATGTCTAAGGGGAGGCAGGATGGGTAGTTGTTTGACGGGAACACCACCTTAGTTGGGGATGGTGATGACAGCTGTACAACAATGTGAAATGTACTTAATGCCATTGAACCGTATCCTTAAAACCGGTTCAGATGGTAAATGTTATGATATGTGTGTTTTGCCACCATTCTAAAACAATGAAGAGAAGCAGCAGGGAGGTGGGCCAGCAGGAAGAGAACAGGGGCCTTGGTCTTGGCCTTCACCTTGCATGTGGTCTGAGGCTCTACAGCGTGTGGGTCTCTGGAGACACCAGGTAGCCACCTGTGGAGAGTCTTAGCAGCTCCATCCTGTGCCCCTACCACAGCCGCTCCCTCAGCCCCTGCTCTAGCAAGGTGGGAATGTGAGACACAAAGGAAAGAAGCGATTTGTGGAAAAGATGGAGATCAGAGCTGGAGTAGGAGGAGAGTGATATTGGCA